CGCCCAATACAGAACACCGACACATATCAGCCGTTAGGGCGCCACATTTTGGTGCGTCGGCCTTCCATACCCCGGGCCACATTCTACCACGCTATATTTTAAACCACTACTATTTGTTTTTAAAAAAACCCTAAAAATTTAAATCCACTGAACGTAAACCCACCCCCTTTAAGAGCAGCCTATCTATTTTGCACACTACCATTCCGAGTCGACCAACTTACTATATTCCGAGCCACCCGCCCGCTGAAGACCACGCTACGGCAGTCGCACAACAGCAGCTTCAAGTAAGTCAGTTTAATATATTACGTTTCATTTCTCGTACAGCTTCCGTTTGTTTTTCCTTTTCCTATTTCAGCTTAATTTTAACGCCTCCCGATATACAATCTTTAAAAGCCACTAAAAATTTTAGTTGACGTACTACTTATTGCTATCCTCCTTATTCTATTAACGTTCCTTATCCTATTACTTTGCGCCTATCCTTCTCCCCGAGATTTTGAGCAACAACTCCGGACTCCCTTTTATTCACAAAACCGCTTCGCCCCCCGTTTTTATCGCGACCAGAATCCCCGAAATTTATCAGAAATCCACGCCCCAAGAATGGCGGCTAACGGCCAACCTCTCCGCCCATCTAGAGCGGTAGAAAGCAGGGAATATTCCCGTAGAGTACGCGCCTTAGCCGACACAAATCGGGATGTTTTGGAACACATTCAATTCGACATGAATGTTCGTTTTCCTCAAGAGGCAGTTTCAAATGAAGCCGAACGTGCTACCTCCGCCGCTCAATTACCCGAACTTTACACCCAAAAACGGGCTCTAGAGGGCGCAGTACAACAATTAGAGGAGCAGATTGATAGGATTACGAGATTAGAAGAGGATCCCGAACATGATCATTTCCAGGGCATATTAGAAAACCTAGAAACCCCTGAGAACGTTCGTACTCTCAGCGACGCGAGACGATACATCCAGTGGCTTACCCGTGCTTACCAAAGCATCGAGGGACAAATCTATACGTATGACAAGTACCTAAGGCCCCCTCCCATCGTAGCCCCGCGCAGGCAAGAAAATGCCGAGGAAGGGCGAGAACCCGTGATTGCAGTGGCGCTTCAGAATGCCCTGAATGCCCCGAGACTCCCCGAAATCCAACTCCCTGAATTTAAGGGAGACCCTATAGATTACAATGCTTGGATTACTACTTTCCGACGAATTATAGGCGACAACCCCCAACTAAATGCGCTAGACAAATTCAGTTATCTAAAAACCAGCTGTCGGGGTCGTGCGCAAAATATTGTCGGACACTTGAGATTAACGCCAGAAAATTATGAAACAGCATTGGCACTGCTAGAAAGGCGATACGCGAATCCGGAGCTACTAATTCGGACATTGCTCAGTAGGCTTGATGGGATACCCGTCGCCAAAACCACACCAGAAGCCGGGCCCACCTATGATAAAGTACGCGCTCTAATTGAAGAACTACGTCAAAACAACGTTGATATCGACCCACTAACCAGAGAGCGCGTTACCAAAAAATTCCCGCTCCCCATTCAAAAGAAGTTGTGCGCAGCAGAACACGGCAACCAGAATTGGGATCTAGACCAGTTCTTAGAAACACTTCATAACGCTATAGAAAAAGCCGAGCATTTGATGCAAGTTACCGAACCTCGGCACGATGCCGAAGAGGTTAGCCTAGCTATCAATCGGACCGATTACAATAATAGAGATAGAAACGAAGCACGGCGTTTCTCTAGGAATAATAGACAAAATCGGAAAAAGTTTTGCGTGTACTGTAGGAGCACAGATCATCTTAGTCTTGACTGTTCAAAAATCTCTGATAATGAGGAGAGGCGAAAACTTTTACGAAAAGAAAATCGTTGTTTTGTTTGTACCCGTAAAACCCCCATGACTGCCGGAAGATCATGCCAATGCGGATCGGATTACCATCACCCCTCAATATGTCCCCTCGATCCGAGAATTGGCTCTAAAACCAAACGAGGCCGTTCCCCAGGCAAGAGACCTAATTCAGGAAGCTCCACTCGCGAGGAAACTCCGGGACGAAATTTAAAAGGCCATGATTATGATACTGAGAACGATGAAACTTCAGATGAACACGTTACCGAGCCAGAGTCTGCTGAAGATTGGCCATCCGGCACCGACTCTGAGTCTAATGAGGAAAACATAACTTCCGAAACCTTTAGTACCACCGCGCTGAATATTAACCTGAGCTCTCCCATAGACATTGGTGGCATACAGGGCGATGAAATCTGGCAAAGCGAAAATTGCCTTAATGTCTTTTCTCTTTCCCTATCGGTTCTAGAATCCGCAGAAATCATAGATTTAAATGAAACGAGCCCACTCCTCTCAAAAGATAAGGCGCCTAAAAACAAAAAGAGAAAAGAGAGGAACGCTTATAAATCCAATAATAAAAATCGGACAATTCCTATCTTAGCTGCCCTTGGGCAGCCGCCCCTTGCAAAGGTAGACTATCTACCCCGGAACAGGCATGCCTAGAACGCCACCTTACCCGGATCCACCTAGAAGAAAAATTAACTTCAGGATGGGGTCCGCGCCGATTTTCCTAGCGTTATGTATTTTGGCCTTAGGATTGGCCCCCGCCTCCGCGGACGCCACGCAAATTAGCGCTACGCTAAGCATCCACAGCCTAGGACCAATCCTCCTAGCTCTCACAACCAGGCTCCCACCTAGTGCGACTACGGTATCAAGCAGCTTACAGCCAAGCAGATCCGAGTTTTCGGCAAAGGCCTGGCCGGAAATTTAGCCATAATATGGGCGGTACTGGCACAAATATGGGCGAAGCGAATAGCAAAATACGCCAACTCTCTAACAAAGTTGCCAGATTTAATCGATACCAACTCATAGCTCCATTAGAAGATGTGCTAGACATCTCTAGCTGCAAAAATTGGACACCGCATAACAGTATCCAAATGGCTCCGGAGGCCCCCAGTGGGGCCCGCGCGACCGTAGAAATTGATACCAATGACCCAGATCTAAACAGCAGGTCAAATATCCAGATTGCGGCTCAAGGGACCGTCCCCTGCCATACGCCTCTACGGGCCAGAGATTATTTACGCCGAAAATATAGGGCGTATTCACTTTTTACAGCAAAGGCCAAAGAGTTAGCTTTGAAGTTCCCTATGAAAGAATTCGGGAATTGGACTATGTGCATTTTTGGTGTCGATACGCAATCCACCGGGCTCACATACGGCGATTTGGACAATCCGCATGCCACAAAAACGCGCAACCTGCGTCGGGGCGACCTCATACCCCAATCAAACCCAGCGGGAAGAACGCGCGCCGAGAATATTGGACTACCACTAAAAGTTTGAAAGCGAGTTAAACAATTCCAATTCTAGAAGATCCCCTAACCACCTCCTCAGCACTTTCAACACCACGATACGTCCCATTCCTCCACCCCATCCACCTCTCTACCACCGAATTCGCGCTTACAACAACCAGGAAAAACCCATTCAACCCTATTTTTTTCATGAATTGCTTTGCAAATCTAATACTATGTTGTGATCGAAAAGTTTGCTTCCTTTTTCCGCGGGGGGAGTGTCGAAACCGACCCTATTCAGGGTAAAGCAAGACTGTGACGTAGTCACCTGTGGGACCTTTCGACCACAAGGGATTGATAGTATAAACAAAGGGCCAACGCGCCCCAACGGTAGGCCCCGACAATTCCGAATTGAATTCCGAAATTCCCTGTGGAATTCCGGAATTCGACTTGACAGGGCAATTCCGAAACTATCAAGCTCCGCCCTAAAACAGGCTGCTATAAAAGAGCCTCGAGGCGGCCCTTTGTCACTTCGCTAAAAACTCCCTCAGACCGCCTGACCAAGCTTCACTGTACCACGCGTTACAGTAGAGCTTACGGGCGAAGAGAGAGTAGCGAAACAAAAGGCTTTCCGAAACTCGTCCGAAATTCCCTTTCGGAATTCACACTCCGAATTTCCCTTTCCGGAATTCACATTCCGAAATTCCCTTTTCCGGAATTCAGATTCCGAAATTCCCTTTCCGGAATTCGCATTCCGAATCGTCGTTCCGAAATTCCCGAATCCCACATTCCGAAATTTCTCCAAGTCCTATTTGTAGTCCCCGTATTTTATATAGTGTGCCAACAACTGTTAAATAAATATACCCGTGACGCCCAATACAGAACACCGACACATATCAGCCGTTAGGGCGCCACAGACTGGTTCCTCGACAAGCTCGGCAAGCGTTAAAGTAAGCCTGTATTTTGGTACTGGTGTGTCAGCAGGGGGAACTGATTTGTGTCTTCCTGCCCATACCTGCTTGTTACGGATAAATAGTGTATACTAATAAGGTTTTTGCAGTTTTTGATTGTTAGAAAGTTTGCCATTAGTTTTTGAAAATTTAGAATTTCGATATTTTATTTTTTTGGCCGTTTTTCATACATTTTTGACATAAATCGAACTTGTTGATAGGTTTTTATGAACTTTTTATCTCTAAAAACGGTGTAGTATGCTATAAAATAGGTTATATTTCGTGATAGGACGTTATAGGATTACTGGGAAAAATTCGTTTCCTCTGCTAACCGCCCAGGACCTCTATGTTTCTATTAATGTGTTTCTACTCCCACGCGCTTTCTCCGCATCCACATCCGGCTAAAGTATGCTGCGCGAGGGTGGCTAATCAAATCAAGATTCTCCCATGTTTCCCGGGCAGCCCAATCAAATATAACCGGAGGACATGTGAGATTGAGCATGAGTCTACTCTCTGTGCTACTCCTACTCCTTTTATCATCAAATCCGATCAACACCCTGACTGGGCCTCCAAATGGCCACACACGTGTGTTGAGCCCCAGTCGAAAATAGTGGGGAATTGTCGGAGGGTCCAGTCATTCTCACCCCCCTCTAGCCAACCCTTTACATTTTGCAGGCCCCGCCCCGATTTTTGTGCGCCGCTGAAGAACCGGAGGAGAACAAGCGATGGCAGTGCCTGTGGCCCATCGCCGGAAGATCGTGATGCTCGGAGCAGGGCCTCGGACACAGCGATCCCATTCATCCATCCAGGTTCGTACCGTTTTTGGGTGGTAGTAAACAAATAGTAACCCGGGTAAACAAACAACATCGCCCCTTTTCCACTTTTTTTTCTAAAAGACAACAAAAACAGTTATTTTGCCATTATAATTGCATTTGGGGTTTGTTTTTAGCTTTTTTACCTCACGCTCCTTTTGGTAGATGGATATCATCTCGAAAAATGGTCCGAAATCCAGGCCTACCCTGAAAATAGGTTGTTTTCCTTTACAAAAATAGAGGTTTCTAAGCAAATTTTCGATATTTTCGCTATTTTTCCAAGTTTCCTCGACGCCATTCGAAAGAGAGTCAAAAAATATCCGAAGAGTTTTAGTCATTGCTAAAAATATTGGAATAGAAAAAGCTATTGCCAAAACAAAAATAATCTTTGAAAATGCGGTAAAAAGCTAGTTTTGATATTTTCGCTGTTTTCCGGGTTTCCTCGACCCGATTCGATAGAGCCTTTCCTAAATCAAGAAAAATTTCACATCCCGCGCGCTGTTTTTCCATTTCACCCCCATGTTCCATCTTTTCCCCCACTTCCAAGCCTCGTGGCCCGGTGGCGCAGGTGTCACTTGGGCCCCCCAAAAAAACGATGCGACCACATTTGTTTTCCCCCACCCCCAAACCACCCGGCACCCCTAAATGCTGCCCCGGAGTCTCGTGAAAATCTAAGCTATGAATCATCTGAAAAATTACGCGTAAAAGGGAGTAGTGGGGTACTGTAAAATAGTTACACGCTTGCCTGATTCTATGATACATCTTTAGGTACTGGACGTTGTTAGCGGTGGGGGACTAATTTTGGTTTTTTCCGCCGATTTATAATTTAAAATGTATTTTTCTAGTGTTTTTGGTGGTGTTTATTGCTAAAGAGCTACAGATATTTTCAAAATTTTGAAATTCCGAAAATGTTGACCCTTTTTCGGCCGTTTTTCATTAATTTTTGATCAAAAAGACAAACTTTTAGAATTATTTTATGAGTTTTTCTATCTAAAAACTGTATCTAAAAACTGAATACTAAAAAAAAGTATATTTTGTCGTGGGGCACTACGGGATTACTTGTAAAAATTTGGTTTCCCCCCGCTAACAGTCCAATACCGACCCTTACACCCCCAATCTCTCACGCCCATCCCAGTATTTTGTGTGCCTAAAACCCCGAGTTCACGGCGTGTCACGCGATTTCAGCGTTTTCAAATTCGCCGCCGGAGAAAAACAGGGCTCTTCTCCAAACCTCGACGTTTCCCGGGGGCCCTAAAAAAGGTGGAAGGGAGGAGCGGAAAAAAAGAGGGGTGGAGGGGAAATAGGGCCAAACTCGCCGCCAAAAAGAGACGTGGTCGGCCTAAAGCGGGAGGGGGAATTTGGGCGAATTTTTGAGGGGAGCGGCAAAAGCCTAAAAGACCCTGGGGGGTGGGGGACGCATTAGGAGGGTTTGGCTGCGTATGTGGGACTCACCCCTTTCTTCTATATGTCTCTGGCGGATAGGTGGGGTGGTCTTTTTAGAGTGTGAAGGTAGGAAATTGTGTTTTTTTTTGAGAAATTCTTGCTTGTTTACTCTTTTTTGAGAGCGTTGGTGGTGCTCCCAAAGCGAACTCCTTAATTCATGATCATACTTGAAGAAGTAAGGGAGAATGCATTTGAGATGAGAAGGAATCAGCCGGCTATTCGGGCGTAACTAGCCCAGGAAAAAAGGGTACTGTACTGTTAGCGGGTGGGGGCTAATTTTGTTTTACGTCTATTTGTAACCTGTGAATAGTAAATACGTATTTTTATAATTTTTTCGTAGTTTTTGATCTCTAGAAAGTTACAAAAAATATTTTAAACATTTATGAAAATTCGAAAATTTTTACCTTGAGGGTCATTTTTGATCAATTTTTACTAAAAATTTTGAAAAATTCGAAACTCGATATAATTTTTACTAGCCGTTTATATCTAAAAACTGTGTAAAATTCTGGAAAAATCGTGTAAATTTTTTTATAGGCTCGTACGGGTTACTGGGAAAATTTGGTTCCTCCCTGCTGAAGTTCCCCCCGCTAACAGTCCAGTACCGAAAAAGTACATAACTAAGCTACCGTTTAGAATGAAAGGGTAGCAAAACTTTAATTTCGTTGTTCCAGGGTTAATGCTATTTTTGGGATTCGTTGCAGAAGATTGGGTAGGGGATGCGAATGGTGCCAAATAGTGCACTAACTGGACTGGCTTTAGTCAATTAGATGCTTCTTGTTTACTTGTTGTCCCTTCAGAAATGGCTGTCTCTGGTATACCGCATCAAACGCGAAAGCTCGATCTGAACGTGGTCAAAAATATTTGTTTTCCAGCTGCCTCCAGAATATTGCTCGGGACAGACACAAGTACCGTTGTTCACCTACAAAACTGCGGATTTCATCTATGATCTCCGTGAAAGCACGTCAAATGAGGAAGAAGCTAGCGATACGAGCAAGCCGAAGCGCGTAAGTTGACCTAAATACGAAACTTGCAAGGAACCGATTTTGAGTATTCATGGAATTTCAAAATGTGGTCATAAACCGATTTTGTGCAGAATTTTGCGCTGATCAACACGCGCTTTTCAGAATCTGCGAAACAACCATGTTTGAAAGGTTACGACGCTCTTGGGGGGGGGGGGGGGGGGGGGGGGGGGGGGGAGGGGGGGGGCCAAAACCAAGGAGAGGGGGGGGGTTGGTTTCTGGGGGGGAGAGAAAAACCAAAGGAAAAAAGAAAATAAAAAAAAAAAAAAAGAGGGGGAAAAAAAAAAAAAAAAAAAGAGAAAAAAAAAGATAAAAAAAAAAAAAAAAAAAAAAGGGGTAAAAAAAAAAAAAAAAAAAAAAAAGGGGTTTAAAAAAAATAAAAAGAAAAAAAAAAAAAAAAAAAAAAAAAAAAAAAAAAAAAAAAAAAAAAAAAAAAAAAAAACTTTTCAAAAAAAAAGGGAAAAAAGAAAAAGATTTGAAGTTTAAATAAAATTTAATAAAAAAAAAAATAAAAAAATAAAAGGGGGGGGAAAAAAAAAAAAAAAAAAAAAAAAAAAATTTTGTATAAAAATTTTTAAAAAATGGGGAAAAAAAGGGAAAAAGGGAGGGAAAAAAAGGGAAAGAGGGGGTAAAAATTTAAAATTTATTTTTTTTATTTTTTAAAAAATAATAAATTAAAAAAAATTAATTTTAAAAAATTATAAAAAAAAATAGGGGAAAAGTTTTAGAAGTTTTTTTTTTTTTTTTTTTTTGGGGGATTTGGTTTAAAGGGGGGGTTTTGGGAAATAGAAGGTGGGAAAATGGGGGAATTTGTGGGGTGTTTTTTTTTTTTTTTTTGGAAAAAAAAAAAAGGGGGGGGGGGGGGGGGGGGGGGGGGGGGGGGGGGGGGTAAAGTGTGGGAAATCTGTGGAAAAAAGCTTCATAACTTCTTATTATGGTCGTTTCGCAGATTCTGAAAACTGTCTTTTGATGAGCGAAAAATTCCGCACAAAATAAACTTGGTACCATTTTAAACTCACTCAAACAAACTAAAAACGTGCCGTTTTTAGTTGAAAGACTTGCTCCACCAGCGATGGGAGGCGGCCAAGGAACGCGGGGCAATGAACTACAATCTGAATTGTCTCTACAAATTTCTCGACGGCAATTTCGAATGTAGTATACAGGTATTCTCGATCGCTTATTGTTCTTTTACCGTTCGAATAATTCAGCTCAACTCTGAGCGTGGCGAGCTTCGCCGGAAGCCAATGCGATTCCGCCACATCCGGGAGCCATTCAACCAGCTGCGCTTCAACTTCACAAAACTAAATGAGGCTGAGGTGATGCTCTACCTGAAGTGCGAAGATCTGCCGATCACGAACGATCCGCTCGATCGACATCTGGTTGGTTTTCTAAAACATACGTAATATTATCGCGTGTTTCAGGTGGCAGTCAATGCATCTCCTCTTGAGAGAGACCATTCTTTGATCATTCCATCCGTCAATAAGTGTCTTCCACAGGTTGTCGTACCTAGATCCTTAATCTATTGACTTGTATTCAGGTCCTAACAACAACGGGAATTCGTATTGCAACAGATGTGATGCTATTGGTGGACGACGACACATTCCACGTCCTATTTAACAGCCTTCTCGGCCATGCTTCCGTAAATCACCTCCATCTCCATACCCTCTACTGGCCATACGATTCAGACCTCGTCAATCGGGTTAGTCTATCGCTCAAATATTGACAATTCTATATTCTTTAGCGCTTCGAACCGCTCAATGACAGTCATGATGCATTCGTTATTCGACCGCCCGATTGGTTTTGCTGTGCCTTTGCCTTCCAGCTGCTCAACAAGGATGGTTATGAAAAGTTCATTCGGTAGGTTCAAGGCAAGCAGACAAAACAAAGTATTTTCTAGAAACCTGACGAAATGCGTCGAGTTCTTGACAGAGCGTGAACAAGCTCACAACCTCTTCTTCACGAGGGCCCAACCGATACGCACTACCGGCGCTGTCCGATCGGAAGATCGAAGGAATGAATTGGGACGCTACATCACAGCCTACGTCTTTCCTCGGGTCAATATGCATGGTGGGTTACTGCAAAAAGCCAATAAACCAACAATTCCAGGCGCAAAACCACCAACTAACTTCAATCCAGCTGCATGTGAGCTGGCCGGCTGTCTAACTGCATATACATATCGGTTCGTTCCTGAAATAGGACGATAAGGATCGATTTCAGCTTCTTCGAGTCAGTGACCGAGCAGGCGGCGGTGCGGATTATTGAGGAAGAAGCATCGCTGCCAGATGACCGCTTCTCGCTGTTGGCTTCTGATCTTGGGTGTCTGCTGGCTGGACGTCCGATCATCTCGCGGCCGATCGCTTTATCAACCCTCGAGGGGCTGACTAGTCCAGAAATTGATGAGCTTCATGATTCATTCCAGGTGCGACTAACCTCAACTCAACTCCAAATTTACGTACGTAGATGATTTGGTGGCTAAAATACAAACATAACAATAAACAATACGTTTAGACATTCGAACCGCATTCCCCGGCCAGAACTCCGCGCAGCAGTCGACCGAGGACAGCATCTGCTGATGCGTTGTTCATGTCAAAACTCCGACTTGAATAAGAAAAAGCTTAATACTGACCAATCCAACATTCTCCGGTTGACTGTCCCGACAAAATCATTTGTGCAATACCTAGGAAGTCCTTTGACTCCCCATAGATCAAAATCACACCCCCACTTCTACTATTCCACTCCCTAGTCCACGCAAACCACTTGGGTATCCCAATAATACGGATTTCGTTCTCTCGCGTCTACGATAACTTTTATGCTCATTTATCCCGGGCGGTTTCTTTCCGATACAGATCCTATACGATAAATTTTCACTTGTCAATTTCGCAGCTCACCGATAATTTATTCATAACAAAATACAAACGGACATTGTGCGGAGATGCTATACAGTGGGCGAGGGCAGGCAACGAAAGAAAACGACCAGAGGCGAGTAAACATAAATGGCCGTGCCCTGCCTCTAACATTCCACGGGACAACGAACGCTAGCTAGAATGTCTGCATCAAAAATCGGCATTGCTCTGAAAATTATGCCGGACAAATGAGCGAAATTCACAAGCAAATGAAGATACTATAATCAGCGGGAAGGTTTGGAAGTGGAGGGAGAACCGGTGACATAGAAGGCAAAGGCGTCTCGAAATGTAAAAGCCGAAAAAGCTGAACATAGCCAGGGGAAAATCACAGCAAGGACAAAACGATGATCGGGACAATAGAATCACAGAAACCTGGAAACTAGGCAGCCGTAAAGCGAGCCTTGTCTCAATTTGCAAATCGAGTATAAGCTAACAATCAAGAACATTCACCAAGAAACAACCGTTTACAGCTTAATCCTCTAGCGCGGGGTACACGTTGTCTTCAGCGCCACCATTCAGCAGCTCGCGCTTTGAAGGAGGGATGAGGTGCTTGGGCAGTTCCGAGGGCAGCTCGTGACCTGAAAGTAGGGGGCTATTTTTGAAATGTCGAAAATCTTAACGACGAAACTGATAATTTTCAAAATCCCATAATGTCGAAATTCAGAATGTCGCAATTTACGTAAGCGAAACTCCCGGAAAACCGCCAAATACGATGCAAAAACCTATCGACATTCTGAATTTAGACATTTTGATAAAAATCAACGTAGGGTTTAGTTGAAAAGGGATTCTCTGCCAACACTAATGCCAAGCAAAATATCTCACCTTCCAACTTCAAATTAATCAAGTAGTTGGCGAGCGCAAACTCGTCAGCGTCGAGACGTCCGTCACCGTCAATGTCCGACAGCTTCCAGACCTTGCCGAGCACAGAGTTCGGCAACTTCGATTTGACCATATGTTCTTTGGCGATGCGGCCTGAAAACGAAAAGGAAATAAAAACGTATTTCGGAATATCTCACCAGAGAGATAGCCGTTCTCAGGCCCAAGGCTGTCGAAGGTGTTGTCGAACTGCGTTCGCTCCTTGTTCACGACCCATTCCTTCTCGTCAGCGCCCTTGTCAAAGCCTTCACCCTGCAAAACACAAAATAATATATGTCGTCAAAACTAGCACCACGTTAGGATACTTAACAGCGACATCTCCTAAAGCTAGGGCATGCGTTGTTGTCAAGCCACGATTAAGACGCGTGTGGAGCAGAAGAAGGGAGGTGCCGTTAGATTTTTGGGTTACAAAACGGTAGTCAGGACCGCTGTCCTGTCTGTGGCTAATGGAACGACGATCAGCGATCGTTGCTCGACGGCTCAAAACAATAGGGTTCGAACTAATAAGCAGAGGTGTGGACAGGGATTATCAGCGGGCACGATGCAATCAGCGCTGCGGGGTAAGAGAATCATAAAAAGGTAGACTTAGCCATCGACAACGCACTTGGTACTTGCCGAACTAAAACACACCACGTTCTACGTCGAATAAGGAAATCTATCATAAAGCGCAGAAAGGAAAAGAAGAACCAAAGATTCGGCAAACGTACCCGTCCAAAACCGAACGGCGTCTCTGCCTCGACAGCTTGAGAGAAGGCGCCGCCGCGCACAGTCGGATCGGATGGACCGCCTAAAACAAAATTTAAACTTTTGTTCACAGATTCCATGACCACGCCGTTGCAATCAGATAAAGTAAATGCTTGCTACAATTTCGAGACGCATTCCAAACATACAACACGGGTTCATTACAACTAACCCTCAGACGGCAAAACAGATGGGCCTGTTGGATCTTTTTAGGAAAGTGCCGAATTCCAGAAAACAAACCTGCTGTAATCGCCGCAGCTTCCTCCTTGGGGATTTGTGCCATCAACCGTGCTAAATGAAAGATGATGCATCCAACAAGTAAAATTACCGATGTCATGTGCCAGCATGCCATCGACGACTTCGATCAACTTCGGCTTCAGTGGGTTGAACTTGCTGCAATTAAAAATTTAAAAAGCTAGTATTGGGCAACATACCTAAAATCTTGCTTCTCCAGACGCTCGCGCATCTTCTGAATGTCCGGGAAATCGCCGGGAGAAATGTTGTGTTCACGCTAAAAGTGGTCATTCACACATAGTTGAAATGAATTAACCTGAAGCTGCTCATAGATCTTGTCGAGGCCCTGAATCAGTTCCTTCTTTTTCTTGTCCTTGCCGATCATCGAGGGCATCTGCTTGCGGAGCTCGTTGATGATGTATGCGTGAACCTAAAAACAAGGTTAAATTCTTCCTAAAACTCCGAAACAACATACCTTTGCCAAACGCGCACGCTTGATCAAGTCATTTAGCTTGCGGAGGGCAGCGTTTCTTGGCAGGGCCTGGAGATCAGCAAACAGGTCGTGCTGTTCATCTTGGAATAGACGCCTAAACGCGAGAATCGAATCGAATAAACTTTATCCCACCTGTTGATGTCATAATGAAGGGGGTGATCCCAGAAGGTGCCGATGTAGACACGGGAAACTTCTGGCGTCTTGAACACCTTGCCCAACGACCACATCAGGGCACCGTAGACGCGCATCAGCTGCTGGTGATCAACCATATCAGACTTGTTCAAGACAATGCGAATCTTGTCTTCGTTGCCTAAAGGTCAATTGAAAGGATGAAAGGAATTCACAACCTGCAAGGGCCTCAATGCACCGCTTGAATTCGTCAGAGATGTCAAGTTTGTGGGCGTCGAAAAGGAGGATGATTCTGAAAACAGTAATTTAGCCGAATCGCTTTGTGACAAACCGGTCAACACGTTCGGCAAACCATTCCAAGACGCCAGTGAAGTCATATCCACGGTCAATCCTAAAAATGAACATGAAAATCACTATTTGCGAATCGCGATACCTTTGTTTCTCTCCGCTCAAAATACCAGGCGTATCCACGATGGTCACCGATTCCAAAACTTGATTTTGCAGCGTTGAACATTGGAAACGGTTCAAGAAAGCGTTGCCGAAACTAAAATAAGTAAATAAATACACCAGGCGGAAAACAAATTTACCCGCTGAGTGCACGGAATTGCTTCTTGGCATCAACGACAAGCGCATTGCCAGGAATTACGCCCTCTTCCTTCCCATTCATCACCGCAATGAAGCGATCGGTTGTGGGCTCTGGTCCAATCCGAATGCCCGGGAAATCTTGCTCCAGCAGATAGCGAATGAACGTCGTTTTGCCCGTAGAATACTGGCCGACCAGCAGGATCATTGGCTTCGCATCGAAATCCGGATCATCTAAGCAACTTCAAGGTCTATATTGACAAAATATACCGAGGAAGGGCGAGTGGAACTCATTGAACTTGTAGTGCTCCTCGAGTGGCAGCAGCTTCTGCTTGTAGATTTTGCGCAGGCCTTCCGAGACGGATTCTAGCACCTAAACTGGCGGATTAGTACGCAGAAATCAAAGAAGGCGGTCAAAACAAGCAACGGTAGTCTTTTAGTCTTCAAAGTTCTAAAAAGAAAACGCGAAAAAGCAGAATTACCGCATTAAAAACGATACATTTTCGCCCTAAGAACAAGATTAGATTTGATCCACAGAATTTAGCAGATAAAAGAAACATTACCTCCTTGTTCTTCTTCTTGGCACCATCACCTCCCAGCCAGCTAAACATCGTGCGCTTCGATTTGGATTTCTGCGAAGCTGCCGACTCTTCTGAAATTAGAGAAATGAATGGTGAATAATAGAGGATAAAACAGATGAGGGAGGACCAAAAGTTTGGAAAATCCCAGCTAGCCTTTCAAAGTAGACACCGGTCTAATAAGTAAACGCCCAGCAATGTAATGGCAAGAGTGCGTGTACCCTCAGATATATCCAAAAACAAGTCGAAGAGTGCTGGAATCCAAGGGCCCCCAAAAAGAAAGATGACTCATCAAGCCCTTTTGGTGGTGGCCAGCAGGCCGAAAATCAATAAAAACAGCCGGGGGGAGGCAGGAGAAATCGCGGCCAGCCGGTCAGACGTGCGAATGTAAACACATTTTCGAAACGTTCAGCACTCTTCTACGCTTTCCCCGGGGGCCCATCGAGAAAGTAAACAGGAAACCCATTGTCCGGATGGCATTCTGCAAAAATTTAGACCGGAAAACCGGAAATTCTCCGGAGGGCGGGTAAAGGATAAGCCAAAATATTAAAAAAAAACTGGAAAATTGAGGAGGTTTACCATCAGAAAATGAATAACATTTCTGACGAAATACACGAGAGACAACTAGACAAACAAACGGTTTTGTTTCGACATTCGCAACTCATTTAATCAAAATATACATAATAAATGGGGGAACTTGGTGTGAGAGCTACCAGAAAACAGGTGATGTGATTAGCTCAAGTGCGAGAGGAGGATGGGAATCGATGGAAAGCAGGGTCGAGATCTGCTGGGCGCTGAACCGTGGAATTGCGGTTGGGAGGGGAGTGAGTGTCTTTGAAACTAGGGCTTTGCGAGTAGCCGGTCGAGTCAAGGTGGTGATTCACCACCGCCAGCCACATTCCACAACGATTAAGAAATCGGGAGAGTTCTAACTTTAGAATAAAACGTAGACAAAAAAAAGTGAGGCTTAATTCTTACGAGTAATTGAGAAAGCAATAACCAGACTTTCCAAAAACTGTTGCGAGAAACTGTCAACATATTTCCATTTCCACGGGAAGGCTAGACAGCCAAAAGAATGGGGCGAGATAAGGCGTTTTGCTTGGTGGGGAACGGAAATGACAGTTCGATCGAGAGACGGGGGTTCGGGTCAAATCAATTTTCCCCCGGGGGGCGATCGCGCGATGAGCCGGATTGATATTAAAGCTGCATCTCCTCTGCAGGATCCCATGAAGTGGAGAGGGGAGAATGGGAGGGCAGAAAGGCAAAAATCGAAGGTCGTCCTTTGAAAGAGAAGGGGAAAGCAGGGGTTCTTTCTATTCAGTGTCCATTGCAATTCGCGATTGCGTCTATAGGAAAGAGCGTTTACTACGGTTATGTAAAGATAGTTTTTTGAGGTCTTTAAATTTTGAAGTTTAAATATTTTTGAAGAATAAGGAAAGTTTTCCTAAATGATTTTAAATGGTTTTTAAATGGTTTTGTTGAACTGAACGGGCAAAGTGAAAGCGAATGGGCATCGATGCGAACTGATGTTGCCCTGAGACCCCGGGAGGATGACGCGGAAGGTTGAGTCACAGGCCCATGTCGAAATAACAAAAGAACAAGGGACACATAGGGGATGTGGCCTGCGGAAAAGGGCTATTTTGCCTCTCGCAGTTTGTGTGGCAGGATTGGATTCGGTTTTGGTGGCGGTCGCTCGTTAGTGGCCGGTGTTTGGAAGTGGGGGAGTAGGGCGGAGGGCATTTTACGTTTTAGCAAGCGACGTAATAGACGTAATAGAGTAAATTACGTATAATAACGGTACTGGACTATTATCAAGGGGGTTTTTTGCGGGAATAGCTAATTTTCGTTTATTTTCTGCCTTTACCTTCTTGTTACTAATAAAAAATAGTTTTTATCATGTTTTTCATAGTTTTTATGGCTAAAAGTTACATAAAATATTTCAAAATTTTGAAAATTGGAAACTGTTAAGCTTTTTGGTCAATTTTCGTACAAAAACGTCAAATATTTTCGGGAATTTTCATGTTTTGTATGAGCTTTTTTTAGCGAAAACTGTAGAAAACGCTATAAAAATGGATTATATTTTCTTATAAGCGTACAGGATTAATGGTAAAGTAGTTTACCCCCCCCCCCCCCCTAACAGACCAGCCCCCGGATGTCTTCCATAATGACGCTCGAAATACGAAGAGGCTCAACTAGCGCTGACATTTCCGGCAAGGCGGAAGATCCCGTGTTTTCAGCCGTGATCTACCGGCATAAAGTATGAGTTTTCGCATTTCATGAATTAAAAAAATATATTCCTCACCAGCAATCGAACGTAGACTATTATTCCCCGATGGAAATGACAAACGTCCTCGTGGTAGCGTGGCGGGACGACGATTGGTTGAAGTCAGTGCATCGACCGTCGGTACAGAATATTTCCGGCGTGGCGGTGGAGTCGGAGAGTTGCTTAACAAATAATAGGCGTCCGTTTGATCTTGGAAAGGGATGTCGAGGTGCCCGTTTACAATTTAAAAGTGGCACGCGGCGGGAATCGGCGGGACTTGGTAGAGAAGCCGCCGAATTTTTTATTGACTGTGACGCGCGGGTTTTTCAAATATATTCGTTTTTGGGTTTTCGGATGTTGTGAAGATTTCGGTACTGTTAGCAGGGCGGTCCGGGATTTTTAGCGGCTGACTACTTTTCCCAGTAACCCTGTTTGGTCCTATAAAAATACAAATCCTTTTTGGCTTTTACACAATTTTTCGGTATCAAAAGCCCATAAAAAACGTTGTAGAAATTTCCGAAAGGATTAGGTCTTTTGCTCAAAAATTTATTAAAAATTACCAAAAAAGTTCAAAATTTTCAAATTTTCAAAAACTTTTCAACCACTTTTGTAACTTCTAGCAGTCAAAAACTACGAAACATTACAAAATACACTATCTATTTTTAACAGCTAGGTATAGAAGAAAAAAAAAACAAAAATTAGTTTCCTCCTGCTAAAAACCGCCTCCCTGCCAAAAGTCCAGTACCGGAAGTTACCCCGCTCCCCCCCCGCTAACGAACCGGAGCCGCGCGTAACAAATTACTCTATTTAAGGTATAAAGAAGTTGAAGTCCTGCGCAAGTTTCGCGATTAAAATTAAAATTAAAAACTAAATTAAAAGAGTTCCGCCGTTTAAACCCTATGCAAATTAACAGTGTCGTATGGGCATACCTTTTGTTGTCAGTGGAATTGGGTTGCAGGGAAAAGCGACGTTCATCGCTAGGCATTTCGTGTTGAATGTGGGTGGTGGTATGGATGGCAGAATGGAAATGGGTTGCGCCGTTGTTTATTTCTCGATTTGTTATCGGAGGGATGGGCGGAGAAGGCCTGTCCCTGGATGTATTCATTGAGTCATCATCATCCAGCTGCATCGTTAATTTGTCTGCGGCTTCAGCCGGGGTTTCTGAGACGATGATTTCGGGTAGAGATACGATGATGGGGTTGGGTACGGTTTCGAGGGTCTTATCTTGATCGGAATCAGGAGTTGGGGGTGTAGACTTCGTTGTTGCTGTCCGTTCGGTTGGTTCAGAGCTTCTTGGGGATCTGATGCAATTCGTAGCTATCTTTTGATCGTCTAGACCAGCAATTTCCCGCTCTGATGTAAATATTTCGACGGAATTCTCAAGATGCTCGATGTGGCATTCAATTCCAAGCTTCACAGTATCCAATTCAGGCTCAAATAGCCCTAACTTCTCAGACTCCTTTTCAGCACAATCTTTATTCTTCTGCCCCTTCACAATATTTTCAGGATTTTGAATCAATCGATCCTCACATTTGATCCCAAGCTTCTCTACTTCCGGCGGCTTAGCGTCAACCTCATGCTCCTGCTCTTGCTCCAATAGCCCTTGCTTCTCGGGCTCTTTTCCAATATCATCTTCATTGCTCTGCTCCTCCACAACTTCTTCAAGATTTGCGACCTCCTCGATGTGGCATTCGATCCCAAGCTCTTCTACTCCCAGTGGCTTGACGTCCGCCCGAAACTCGTGCTCCGATAGCCCAAGCTTCTCGGGCTCCTCCTCCTTGGGGCTCCCATCTTCCTTCGTCGGCCCTTCCACAATATTTTCAAGATTTTGAATCAATCGAGCCTCAATTTCTGATGTAACCAGCCTGACACCGCATGCTTTCAAACGTTCCTCCCTTGAATCGAAGGCCTCTGACTCCAGGCAATCCACATCCGGTGCCGTTTGGATTGGAGGGGACGGCATAATTAACAGAAACAAAGTATAGATTAGCACAAAATAGTGTTTCTGGGAAAATCAGTGTCTGGTTACCTTGGCTGTCACTGGGGCGTCAGTTTGACAGCTGATAGCGTGTTTTTTTGCATAGTGGTTTTGGGTAGGCGATGGAGAGGGGCGAAAAGGGGGTAAAAACGTTACTGGACTGTTAGCGGGGGGGTAATTTTTCCGTAATCCTTTTGGGTCCTACAACACAATATAAAGCATTTTTATAGCGTTTTACACAGTTTTGAGCGAACAAAGCTCATAAAACCACATAAAAAGGGTCAAAAACTCACTTTTAGCCAAGAATACATAAAATTACCAAAAATGTAGAAATCTTCCAAATTTTCAAATGTATAAAATAGTTTTTGTAAGTTTTTAGCAATAAAAAACTATTAAAAACATCATAGAAATAGATATAGATTATTAACAGGAAAAAAATCGAAGGAAAACTTGCCAACCCTCCCCCCCCTCCGCTAACAACAAAGTACCAAATCAGCTAGCCCAGAAAAATTTCACAAAAAACAAAATAAAATTAAAGTATTGAGGTGCTAAAATCCCAAATATACCTTCAAATGGGTTCCTGCTTTTTCGGCTACTTCTCCTCCTTAATTTCCGCTGTTCCAGGTGCTCTCGTGTGATGGGCTCAACGTATGCGCTAGGTCCGCAGCCCATTCATTTGCATTCCTATTGAAAATAACAATAATATGTTATTCAGAATGGATAGAAAAGAGCGAGAAAAAAACAGGTTGCGCACGAGCGGCTGATTCACCTCACGCAGGCAACCCAAAAAAA